GTGCACACCCCATATATAATTCCTATATGTCATCATTCTTCCAATGTTGATGTGTGTATTTCTGGGAAGACATGTCCTAGCTACAAAAGAGAGCAATGCATTGTCTCAACCTTGCATCTCAGGGCCTTGACCCAGTATCTGATGGTACCACAATGCCCAGAGGTGTCCAGAGATCAGGTCACATCCCAAGATCACTGACTGTCCTGTCCTTGACACCGGGTAACTTGGATGTTGAGTGACCCTAGCATCCAAATGACCACCTGTGACGTAAGAAGAGGAAAGTAACAGATTGAAGGAAGAGAGTTTCTATTGATGTGCCCAAGGGAAATATTTAGAGGTAGAATCTCAAGACAATTTCTTCATTGGAACTAATTTTCACCGGCCATCAAGAGATAAAATATCATACAGAAGAAGAACTTAGAATGCAGGGTAGAGTCAGGTCTGGAAGAGAACATTTCCCCTTCAGGAGTCTGCAGGGAGAGAGGGTCCTCTCTCTGATAGGTGGAATATCCCTGGGATATCACTGTTCCTGATGACCATCTCCCTCCCCCAGTCTGAGATCCTGCTCTGAAATGGTGCAGGCTCAACCCTGTCACTACCTCGCCATCATCTCCATGTCATTAATGATGTCCTATCTAGCAGGTGTGAGTGGCAGTAAGTATGTAAGAATATAGTGAAGGAGTGATCCCCCTTCACCCAAGCCTTAAATAATATTTATTTGGGACAGTTGTTCCCTCTGTCAACTGAATTTTGTTTGAAAAATCAATTACAAGCTTCCTACTCCTTTAATACACATATGTGGGATAGGATTCTGGGAAGATGGCAGAGTAGGTCAGAAAATCCAAGCTCTCAAGATTTTCTCCCACCAAAGAGATAAAATAGCTCCTTAGGGTGAACATAGAGTGGTAAAAATAAAGAAGAGTAGGTGCAGAACAGGGGTCCTTCCAGGAAAATCAGAGAAGATCTGAAGAAAATCCCAGAACAAGATTTTGTCTCTGTGAAGAGTAAACACATCCAGGTTAGGTCTATTTAAACAGCAAGTAGCAAGTCCTGGGGTTAGCTGTGTTGGGATGCTGCACTGGCCCCAGCCGCAGGAACTTTTACCCCCAGGACAGTGAGGGGAGTTAGGCGTCTGAGCCAGGGAAAATCAAAGAAAACTCTGCTGACAAGGAATGCCAGACTCAAGAGTGCTATGGAGATGTGTCCTAGGGTGAGAAGGAACCAGCATATTCCCGGTGAGTGCAGAAGCAGTGAGGCAAGAACACTGCTGGCTCTGGGCACTTAGGGGAGGCTGGAGGTCTTGGTTTCAGTTACAGGCCAGAGGGGAGAACTGAAGGAGGATCTGAGGCCACAAGCCTCATAAAAGTGATTACGTGTGCTTATACAATCTTAGAAGCAAAGACTATTAACAGAAAGATAGAGAGATAAAGAGGAAGAAATACATCACCAATCCAAGGAAGCACCAACTCCTGAACATCTGGCTGGGGGAGTCCTGGATCACAGCTGTCAAGGTCTCGGTTGGGAAAGTCCCTATGGCAGAGTGTCCTCTCCGAGGGAGACTCCCAAAGTCAGTTTCCCAAGAAAGACCCTTTTTATCAAAGAAGGCAGGGAACCAAGGAACAGGTGATTGATCTTAAGGATCTGAGAGTTTTGACCGAAACTCTCCAACCTCAAGAACAATCTTTGTTATGCCAAATATGTCTTGGGTCAATACCCAAGAACTGGCCAAGTCCCTGGGTGTTTACCTCAAGACTTGTTTTTTAAGGAATAGCTCCCCAAGGTGGGTCTGGGTTGAAACAAATCCCAGAACCATACATTAGGGAGGCTGTGGGTAGGGAAGATCTTATACATGAACTCTTCAAAGGATAAAATATTATGAGCACCAAGGAAAAAAAAACAATTTAAATATGGCAGTGACACAATTAGAATCACACAAGACCTAGCAACAGCTACACTAAAAGACTGCAGGTTTTGGAACACTATATATGGAAGAACAAAAGAACTGGTGTTCCAGCTGAACATATCATACCCAGTATAACTAAGCATGATTCTGAACAGAAAAAAATGGATATTTAAAAAATTGTCAGACTTTCAGGACTTTGTTTGAAAAAAAAAAAAACAACCTGAACTTAATAGAAGATTTGACATACAAGAGCCAAGAGAAATATAAGATACATACCAAAGACTAATTACAAGAGACTCAATAAGGGCAGACTGTTTACCTTTTATGTATGTAAAATGTCAAACGTATTAGTAATTGGGTAGTTCATAAGAAAGATTGGGGTAGATATGACTTTAAAAAGTAAAACCATTAGGAATAGCTAAAAAGAGTAATTATCTTATACAAATGAGGTGTGAGAGGAAGAAATGACACAAAGGAATTAGATGGAGAAGGAGGGCTGTTAGTTCTGGAAATCTACTTTCATCAGGAATGGATTCAAGAGGGACATATATGTGTGTGTATGTATGAGTATAAAAGTCTTCTAAATTCAGAAAGAAATGAAATATTAAGGGTTGGGGGTGAGAGGATAAGGGAGGGATTTCTAGAGGGGAGGGTGAGGAAACAAGTTAAAGGGGGGTATAGAAGGTGTTTAGATTTACAGGAATGGGAGGATAAGAGAGGGGAGGTTAAGTAATAGGAGGGCAAGGTAGCTGGCAGAAGTAAAGTAGAGGAGTCAGGAGGAATACGAAATAAGAGATACATGCAAATATAAGAACAAAGATCAGGAGTAGAATTTGTTAAGGAAAGTATATGTCTATATATGTATATATGTATGTATATATATGTATATGTGCATGTATATATATCGATATCTATACATAAATATATATGTGCTTAATTGTAGCCTTCTTGGGGGGGGAGAAGGAAGAGGGAAAAAAGAATAAAGTAAAAAATGCACAGCAGAGAACAAAAGAAAACTTACAAGGAAGCAAAGAAAAGATGGATAGTTCTCAACACAATGCATAGTATTTATTATAAAGGCTTTCTTAAAATGGAAATGTATTGCTATATATTTTGAATCCTTTCTCATGTTCTGCTATGCACGACATACCTTTTTTTCTTTTCTGATTTTGTATTTGTTTTAATATTTAAATTTATAATGTTTCTTTTTCTTTTCTTATTATATAATTTAAGTTTTAGTATTTAAGTCTAAAATAAAAAAGAAAAATACAAAGCTTTGCATCAGGACTGACTTCCAGGACACAAGGTGGTCTTCCTAGAACTAGCCAAATATGAGTGGTGGATATAACAATCACGCCTCTATTTGAGGATTCTCTGTGTTCTTCCCAGAACCATCTGAATTTGAGTGGAACCATAGCTCCTCCTAGTGGCCAAAGGTGTCATAATCACTAGGATTTGCCCTTGCTCCTTAGAGGAGATGGGGGTCAGAAGGTAGCTGTGGCCTTAAGAGAAGAAAGAATAGAGGGCTAAAAAGATGGTCTTATGATTTCAACAGTAAGACCTCCTCCTTCTGTTCTTAGTCCTAAGCACTCGTTATAGCCAAATTTGAACTTCAACTCTTCTTACTCCTGAAAATTCCCATTACCTGTACTTCTATCCTTCAACATCCCCTTACGCAATAGTAATAGTAACAATTACAATTATAATGATGACAGCAACAATAATAACTAGCACTTATATAGTATTCTGTGGTCTGCAAAAGCATTTTGTAAATATTATCTCATTTTGTCCTTACATATACTCTGTGAGATAAGTGCATTTATTATCCCTATTTTACAGATGAGGTAACAAACATGTAGAGGTTAAGTGACTTGCCCAATCATACAGCTATTAAGTGTCTCAGACTAAATTGGAACTCAAATCTTCCTGAATCTATGTCCAGCACTCTATCCACTATCCCCAACTGCCTATCAGCTTTCAAATAGGATAAAATATCCAACACAACAACTTATCTTCTGACTCTCTCCCACTGCTCCCTACTACCACCAGATAAAGTCTCTATAGCAGTTGCCAATAAGGGATTGAAGAAAGTCTCCTCCAAATATGTCACTGTGGAGTTGTAGTCTTTACTTTTTTTCCCTCTTTGTTACCTCTCTATCATAGTGACCCTATACATCTCACATGTACGGTTGGTCATTTAGAAGGTAAAGATCATTATGAAGAAACTGTCATAACCACAACTTATCAATCAACAAACATTTTTTTTTCTGGTGAGGCAATCAGTGTTAAGTGACTTGCCCAGGGTCACACAGCTAGTAAGTGTCAAGTGTTTGAAGTCTGATTTGAACTCAGGTCCTCCTCACTCTAAGACCGGAGCTCTATCCACTGCACCACCTAGCTGCCCCAACAACAAGCATTTATTAAGCACCCACTATATGCAATGTACTTTTCTAGGTACTAAGGATACATAGATCAAAATCAAATAGATTCTTGCCTTCAAGGATATTGCATTCTGTCAAGGGACTCATCATATTCACATGTAAACATGTCAGATTTGGTGAAGGTCTTATTTACCCACAGCAAAGGGACCATGCAATAAGCTGTCAGAGAAAAGGTAATTTCCCCTCCCCTTAGGCCTTGTGACCTCAAGAAATGGGCTTGGGGTTTTGATCTGTTTTGTTTGTGATTTTCCATTCTAAGTTCAGGGATAGGGTTACCAGATTCCAGACCCTGAGCCATGTGATTTTGAAGCCCAGGATTTCAGGTGAGATGTTTCAACCAGCCCAGCAAGGAAGTCCTGGGAAGCCCAGGGGCACTTTGGACTTAGAACTTGGTGGTATTAATGCAGTACTAATAGGAATTGAGTTATGTTTTGAACCTAACCCCTCTCTCATCCCCAGAGACTGATGGAGGTAGGTGGGGAATTATGACCAGGAGAAGTTGTGGGAGAAGAGGATGTTTGTGTATTTGTTTTCACTTCATCTTTGAAGTCAATATTCCTTCATAAAAGCTAATCTGATTGTTAAGTAGTTAAATGAAACTGGGATGTTAGGACCCACCAAATTAGGAGAATATAATCAGTGGGGGATTGAGCCAGTAGAACAGACTAGACACCCCCTCCAACCACATAAGGAAAGCAATAGAAATGTAATATACCTGACCTTCAGACAGTGGGGCTTCACAGAATCACTGTCACATACCTAATTTGGGGGTAGAAGTACTGCCATCTGGGGAGGGAGGTAGAACCCTAGCTATGCTTTGAAGAAAGCATAATGGAGGTAAGGAGGGAATGGTAAAGATGAGGAGGGAATGTATTCCAGGCATGGGAGATGGTCTGTGGGAAACAGTGGGGAATAGAGATGAAATGATGCATGTGAGGAACAGCAAAACGGTCAGTTTAGCATGAAGGGACATAATGTGTAATAAACCTAAAAAGGTAAGGAATAGCAAGGTTGTGAAGGGCTTTCAATTACAAGGGAATTTATATTTAGTCATTTAGATAAATAGGGAACCACTTGAATTTATTGATGACAGGAATGATACCATTATATCTGTGTTTTGGGAAAATTGCTTGGCTAGGGAAATAGTTTTGGTGTGGAGTCTAAATTGGCGAGGGGACAGACTTGAAACCAGGAAACCAATTGGAAAGCTACTGCAATTATCCAGGTGAGAGGTATGTAATCTAAAGGTATTCAGTCTAGTAACTGAATCCATTTGGATTTGGCTTAACAAAATTAAACAAATTTTACATTTTATTTTAGGTCTATAGTGCTTTCTTGTTGCTCGGTTCTCATAGTAAAATTTCTAATGCCCTTCATTGATATTAGATGACTTATTCATATATAAACAGGTTAAATGTCTACGTAATAAACTGCAGTGCGAATATTCTTTTTTTTTCACCCAGGCTCAAAGAACAGAAACATGGCATCCCAATTGCAGCAATGGGGGGGAGGGGGGAGGAGTGCACTTGACTTCCCATCTCTCCCAAACTCCTTTATTCCCCATGACTTAGTGGGCGCTCTGATCTTTCTGTGTGTTAGGTTGATGAGTTTCTACCCTGTGTCTGTCATAGTGAGTGCGATTCATTTTAGATAGTAACTGCAAGAAAGAAAAAATCAAGGATGGAACTTCCTGTTTATGACACAGCACAACTCCACACATAAATAGTGATGCAGTTATTCAGCGGAGAGCACGCAAGAGCATATGACGAAGAAAAGGAAGTTCTAAAGCCAGAGTTCTTAACCCATAGTCCTGAGAACTTTGCTTTCAATATATTAATAACTAAATGTTGATATAATTGGTTTCTTTTGTAATTCCATAAATTTAAGACATTTTGAGAAGGGATCCATAGGCTTCACCAGACTGCTGAGGGGGTCCATGATATACAAAAATAAAAATAATAATAAATTGTTAAGAACCCCTGCCCTAGAGGGAAGAAAATATATGCAAATTAATAACCTATAGTGTTAATGAGGAAGATTTCCCCACCATATCTCAAAACTGGGGTGGAGGGTGAAAGGGGAAGAACTACAGAAAGAAATGAGCCCACTGGGAAAAGGATTGAAATGAAGACACCCCATAGTATAAAGTAAAGATTATTCCTGGTGTTATCTAACCAGGACTCAGGAGCAAAGCAGCAAAAACTTAGAATGCTACAGACAGAAAAACAGAGAAAGAGAGCAAAACAATTCAGTCATTACAATGATCACTTCCTAAGAACCAAGTGTTGTGACAGGCACTGGGCTAGGCACAGGGAATACAAAAAAATAAATAAATAATAAGACAATCCCTGTCCTCAAAGAGTTTATGTTCTAGTAGGGGGGAGATAATGAATAATATGTATTGCAAAACAAAACAAAAAAAAAACAAAAGACAAACTAATATCTATATAATCATCCCAGTAGAGAACTCCCAGTGAGGAAACTTCCTCTACCAATGTAAATCAATAACTATTTTTCAAGTTACAGTATTAGAGATTTACCTGAGGTGCTGGAGGTTAGGAGACTTCCCCATGAGTACACAGTCAGTATGTCTCAAGGCTTGTAACTTTAAGCCACGTCTTCCGTATTCCAAGGGAGGCCAGCTTTCTATCTGCTCCATTCTCAATACTCTTAAAAATATTCCCATAAGAGCCCCTCTTCTCTGCTTTTTACTGTTTCTTGACAGCTCCCTCACTTCATCTTCTACCCCTTCTCTAGACTTTTGGTGGCTTTCTAGGGAATGCTTAAATTTTGACAGAAAACTACAATCTATCCTCTGCAACCATTCCCAGTCACAACTACTCCTATCCCATATCCATTCTCATTCCAATCATCAATAAAGAATTATAAAAATTTATAAATAGAAGCAACTTTAGAGATCATTTGATTGAGCCCCTTAATTTTATAGTAAACTGAAGTCTAAAGATTTTAAGCCACTTCCCCAAAATCATTCCTCTTATAAATGGTTTTAGATTGTTCAATAAGTATAGTTTATTAGGATTTAGGATGTTTTCTTATCTTGCAATAGCCATGAGGAACTTTCCCAAGGAAGGCAAAGCCAAGAGATATATATTTGAATACCAGTAACAGCAGAGTAGCCAGGAGGACCGATGGATACCTGATCTAGTAAGGGCTTTCTTCTTCTGGAAAGGCTAGAGGCTAGAGAAACCATTTGAGGACTTGCCCAGGTGACCCTCTTGTTCATGGGTTAGGTGAGGGGTTCTTATCTTTTTTGGAATCATAGGCCCCTTTGATAGTCTGGTGAGGCCTTTGCTCCTTTCTCAGAATAATGTTTTTAAATAAATAAAGTAAAATAGGATTGCAAAGGAAATCAGTTATATTGATATAAATATGTATTTTTCCCCATCCAAGTTCAAAGACCTCACCCTTTAAAACCTGTACATGGACTTCAAGGGTCTGTGGACTCCAGGTTAAAAACTCTTTGATTAGGAGAACCTAAAAGATTGGGGGAATGAGGGAATGATCCTGGCTAAACACACAAACAAATTCTGAACTCAAAATTTAGGGGCCCTCCAGTCAGAAACAATGACATTTCTCTCAGTTGTCTCATTTCTACATCCTCAATTCCTTAAAAAGAAAATTTTAAGGTAGTACTCTTCCCTAGAGGTCATCTGGTCCATCCTTCCATTCAGGACGTAATTCCTCTTGCAAGGATTTTCCGGAGACCCTGATTTGAAAGCCTAATATGTTATTAACATTTAGAGTTATGTTTAAGATTCCTCATTTCTTTCCCTTTCTATCCATGGATACTTATTGCTGACTTTGTTCTAGTCTCTAGACATCATTTATCTACCATCTATATCACTATATAGATTTTATTTTTTATAGGTTTTATTGAGGGCCTATTGAATACCTAGGTGGTACAGAGAATTGAGTGGCAGTCTTGGAGTCAGGAAGACCTGAGTTCAAATCCAACCTCAGACACTTACTAGCTACATGACCGTGGGCCAGTCACTTAACCAATGCTTGCCTCAGTTTCTCATCTGTAAAATGAGCTGGAGAAAGAAATGAGTTTACGAAGAGTTGGACATAACTGAAACAACTGAACAACAACTGAGTGCCCAGGTCCTAACTGTTGCTAAAGAGTTACAAACATGAATAGGAGCCACATACTGGACTTGGCATTACCAGGAGAATATTGGTGTTAAAAAAAAAAGATGGAATCGGTTGCAAGGAGAAGCATGGGGTTCAGATAGAAACAGGGCCCACTAAGCCTTGTAGAAGGATCCCTGTGAGCCACTTATAGTCTCATAAAACCACATATTAACATTATCTTTTTTTAAAATTTTTACTATTTTGTTAAATATTGCTCAATTACATTTTAATCTGATTCAGCTGCCCTCCAGAGTGTTGCAGGCTGCAGCAGCCAGAGAGCCACACGTTTGACCTCTCTGGACCTAATGCCCTCTGAAAGCCTTTCTTTTTACCTTTTCAATCTCTATAACCCTGTTCTGTGATCCCTTCTTGACCAACATCCCATAGCCCTGCTCATCCCCTGTTGCTTCTCAGCTGGTGTCTGATGAGGTTTATGCACGGGGACCAAGGAACTCTGTAACTCTGTGGTTGAACTGCTGGCACAGAGATATGTGGCTGTGTCCTCTGGTTGAAGAAGTTTTATCTGAAGATTCAGTTCTGTCTTGAGAGATTCCACTTCAAAGCGATTGGAATCAGTCTCATTTATAACAGGTTTTTGATAATTGTAGACAAACATAACACGGATCTCATGGTTGGTGTCCTGCCGATACCAGAACATAGCATCATCACCTAAGTCCTGTTCACATCTCAGGATCCCCTTCTGTCCCTTTCCCTTGATCAGAAGCCTTGGGATCTGTGTGACTCCAGCATCCATAGGGTCTGCAGGGAAGAAAAACAGTAGCTGGGAGAGAGAGCTTGGAAATCAGTTTATTTTATTGCAGTCAAGAGAAAGGTTTGGAACAGTGCCTTAGCAAATCAGGAACTAAAAATTCCCAGTTATTCAAAGCTCACCTGTCCCCAGGAGAAAAATGGTCACTAAAAAGAGAAACCTGGTGCTCATTTCAGTTTCAGTAGAAAAATGGGTCTTTTCCTATCACAGGGCTTTGTTTTCTAAAATAAAGAAAAATAAGAGAGGTCCACCCATAGGTGGAGACAGTTTGTGATGTCACTGCCTTTATTAGCTCTTTACTACTATTACCTGTGAGCTGAGATAGGACTTTAAGAATATCAATCTGGCAGCTGAGTAGAACAGAGTGGACTAGAGAAAGGGGGCACCAAAGGCAGAGAGATGGGGGATGGCTTCATGAAAATCCAGATGAGAGATGAAGCACTTAGCTTCTATCAGTGAGACAAAAAATCACCATGTTCTTCCCAAGCCAAAAACACATTCAGCTATGACTGCCTCCTTCAGAAAAGGAGGGTCTTTGTGGTTATACATGAGTATATTTTCTCTTCTCAGTGGTTTTTTATGGAATCCATACATTTTTCCAATATTCCTGAATGAAGCCAATATATTAGTACTATCTCTCCTGTCTTCCTGTTCGGAACTTGATCGAAACCTTTTTCTTTCAGTAAGTCTTCTCTGGCAATCATAAATTCACTCTAAATTTCAATTCTATCTTCACCTTAACACATACTCCCAATTTCAGTCATGAAACCTATATTAAGCATGTGCTAGTTACTATGCTAAGTACTGAGGGTGCAAAGAAGGGTAAAAACACAGTCTCTGACTTCAAGAAAATCACATTCTAATGGGTAAGACTACGTATAAACAGTTATGTGAGAACAAGATACATATGGGATAAATTAGAAGTAATACAGTCTGAGAGAGAAGGCATTGATGGGGATTGGGAAAGACTTCTTAGAGAAAGTGGGATTTTAGCTGAGACTTGAAAAGCAGGAGAGAATTGCAGGCTTGGGGGGGGGGCAGCCAATGAGAATTCACTGAGTCAGAAGATGGAGTATCTTACGTGAGACAAAGCAAGGAGACCAGTGTCACTGGATGTTAGAGTGAAATGGAAGAAGACATTTGTTTTTCATGTATCCCCTGTAGTCTTTGCTTATTTTCTTTAGACTTGTATATGCATCAAATCTGGTTTTATTTTTTTTTCCATCCTCTTCTCATAGGAATAATTGTTCACAACATGCAACAAGACAGTCAGTCAGCCAACAAAGGATTAGAGTTCAAGACTATCTTGAAGGACCAAGCTCTGTCAATTGACATAGAACATTCTTTTGAACCCATGAGGTAAAGAAATTGGAGATAAGATGAAGATTTTTACTTCAGAGTAAAATTTTTTGATAAAAATTTTTAAATTTTTGCTAAATATGATAAAATTTTTGCATTATTTGATGATCTAGTTCTTCTAATGTTAAGTACTTTGTATGTGCCAGGCACTATGCTGAACCCCAGATACAAAGAAAAAGAAAAATATAGTTCCTTCCTTCAAGGACCTCACATGCTAATGGGGAGAAAATGTGCAAATAATCACCTATATACAAGATATGTACAGAGGTAATCTGAGAGAGAAAATGCTAGCAGGGGGCGAGGGTCAGAGGGGGAAGGGCAGGAAAGGCCTCCTAGAGAAGGCGGTATTTGAGCTGAGACTTGAAGGAAGCCAGGAGGAGAAGGTATCAAGGGAGATCATTGTGGGGCAGCCCATGAAAAGTTAAGTCATGAGGTAGTAAAATGGCATGGAAAACATAATGATAATATAAGAAAGAAGGTGGTGAGGGCAAGAATCATAGACATTCCAGGTGCGATAGGATTGCAGCAGACACCTAGGTCAACTCACATTTGATATAGGAAGTCCTTCAATCACCCAGGCCCTGCCTGAATTCCCTTAGAGGCAGAGGAGGTGAACTCTTTATTTCCCAAGGCAGCTTGAGCTGGGGTAATACCAGATCTGGCAGGTCCTAACCGGCTTGCTAACAAACAATTCAAATTTCCCCATTCTCTTCGAAAACCTTGAGTGAAATTTGAGTTGCTCATTAGTAAGTACATCAGGACATAACAGGTCTGATATTACCCTGGCACTTAGTCCTATGCAATATGAGGTTACTTCATGCCACAAAAAGACTTCTAAGCAGTAAAAAGAAAAAAAATTATTATTATAGTAAGCCCTCATTATTGTTAATTATGGTTATCATCTGATTCACACACTCTAGTCCAAATTTTGTTGTATTCTCAGCAGCCTCTTTCCAATAGCCCACATTGCCCAAGGCTATTTCTACTCTAGAGGACTGGAGGCCAGCCAATGACTGAGGGAGGATGTAGAGTCTAGACTATTGTGCAGCCTATGATTAGCTTCGTATAAATATGCTTTATAGGGTCTTTTCTTTGGATGACTGGTCCTGCTCATTATGGTCTCTTGAGCCCTGGGGCTTCTAGGCTGTCCTCACTTTCTTCCACCCTTACCTCCATATATATTATTTAACCTGAACTGAATGTCTCTGTACTCTGTCTAACAAAGCCATCGTCTCTCTCCTTAACCTCTTACATTTCCTATGTGGGTCATGTTTATGGACAGAAGGGAGGTGATGTTAAATCCCTGTGGCTTTACTGCTAGCACAGAAATACATAGCTGAGTCTCCTTTCTCTGTGGGTTCAATTGTCAGGCTACAGGGTGAGTTGCTGGACCATTCAACTAAGAATCAATTCTGGAATAACTCTGAACTCTCCATGACTTTGTTATCATGTAAATAAATGAAGAACTTCAATTCTTCTTCCAGGAGCTTTTGATATCAGTTAATCTAACGGTGTCCTTTGATCGGGTCACATTTAAGCACCACTTTCTGTTCTTTCCCTTTGACTATGTACCTTGGTATCTGAGTGACCCCAGAATCCATGAGGCCTAAGAGGGAATGAGATAAAAGACAAGATTTGGAATGTGGGGTTGAACCTGGCATTTGTAGCCACAAGGTAAAGGTTTGAAGCTGAAGATGGGCCCGGGATTTCCCATCCGTGCCACTGGACTCACCCGTTCCTAGGAGACAAATGGCCACATAGGAGAGGAGCCATGTTCCCTAGTCATAGCAAAGGTAAAAATGAGGGATCTTCCACCTTCAGTTACCCTCTGATATAAGGTGGTTCTTTCTGTGTGACTTCCATTTAGCCAATCAGAAGTCTTTCTCTATGATATGACTATCCTTAAAGAGCCAAGTATGACCCATTTTGGTATAACATGACCACCTCACAGTAGGAAAAGGAAAGTCCTTTTCTAGGACTAAGGCTCCAGGACTATGAATGCCAACAGATTCTTCTAGTTATTTTGGAATCGAGGATAGCACCATGGACTGTGATTGTCATTATTTCATCCAAAGTGACACTCCCCTGACATTTGTAAGAAATCTGTTACTATCTCTATTATCTGATTTTTACCAAAAAAAATGAGCTAAGTATTTAAGTCCTGCTGCCTCCACTACTGGTAATCACAATTTTAAAAAGTCTGTGATGGAGGCAGCATGTAGTAGGACATAGGGCACTGAATTTGGAATCAGAAAGTCCTGAGGTCAAATCCTACCTCAGACACAATCCTAGCAGTTTTACCCTGGACAATTCACTTCACTTAACTGGGTTTCTGTCTCCTCATCAGTAAAATGTAGGGGATGTACACAATGGCCTCTAAGGGCCCTTCTAGCTCTAATCTATCATCTTAAGTCCTCCCTACTTTCAGCTGTGGTCTTTATATTGTTCTTAAACCAAAAATTTAGTGACTAGTTCATTTCCAGCTCTTATCACTGACATTAAGTTGTTTTGAGGATTAAACTCAATAATGTACTTGAAGGCCCAAAAAAACTCTGCAGGAGCTAGGGTCCGGACTTTCTGTTTCATTGGTTAAATTCAGTGGAACTCACAAGTGAGGAAATCCCTTCTGCCAAAGCAAATTGCTACCTTCTCTGTGACTTGTAATCTTACAGAGTTTTCTAACACTATCAAGTTAAGTGATTTGCCTACAGGGTCACACAGTCCATATATTTCAGAGGCAGAACTTGAACCTAGATCTTTCTGACTCCAAGGACAGTTCACTATCCACTATGCTATACATCCTTATTTGCATGTTATTTTCTCAATTTCACCTTTCTTTACGTCCCTAGCACTTAGCAGTGGCTGGAATATAATAGATACTTAATAAAAGTTTATTGAATGACTAAAGTGCTATAAATGTAAGTTATTATTGGAAGGAATTATAATAATTAGAATTGATCTCTCCATATTATATCTTTCTCTACTTAAAAAAAGCCTTTATGATTAACTTTCCTGAAACATTTCTCTGAGTAGCGTTTTCTTGTTTTATAAAACCTTCAATGGGATACCATTACCTTCAGAATAAAATCTAAATTTGTTAGTCTAGTATTCAAGGTCTTCTAGGATCTGGCCCAACTTAACAATTTACCCTTATTTCACTACTTTCACAATATACTTACATAAACTGAAGAAAAAAGTTTGCAAATGCCAAGGGACACAACACAAACTAGAAAGTTAAAGAGGTTATGAATTCCTTTATCCTTTAAATACTTGAAAACAAATAACTTTCTATTTACAGTGGTTTAAATCTTACTTGATTAGAAGCAGGGGACTGACTACGTAGTCTTTCTTTGAATTCTAAAAATTAGTCCTACCTTCAAAAACTTAACCCATATTATCTGAGATAGTTTCTTCCTCTGCCTATGTTTGCCATCTGGAAACAAGGACGGGCCCACCACAAGCTCCTTTCTGCTGGCACACAGCTGCGATGAAAGACTGGTTGCCAGGGCTCAGGTCTCCACAGAACCAGCTGAAGATCAGTAATGGATGCTGTGAAAAAACCTGTATTCTAAGGCATCCTGCTTTCCTTCACATCAGTTTACCCAAACCTGATTTAAACAATGCCAGGTCACCTGGAATTTCCATGGACCCACAGTGCCTCCTAGTGGCCATTAGGGCAATCACCAGGAATCACATTGTTCCATAGCAAGACGTGCAAGGATGCAGCAAACACATTAGAAGATGAAAGAAAGGAGGTTGTATAAACACTTTCATTGACTCAATCATATTCTTCTCCTGGAGTTCCTAGCAAGCAATTCTTAAAAGTCACAGGCAGAACTTCAAATTATCTTGG